TTGCCTCACTCATTTAATAGCTGTTGTGGGTTACTTTTATTCTTGAAGCAGGATTAGCAAAACTGCCAGTGTTAAAACCATTTCACAGGTTGATAAGCAAATTACGAGTTAAAGTGACTTCATAATTCAGTGGCTAATTTGGGATCAGGAACAAAAATCTTTTATTACCTTTGATGGTCTGACTAGGAATAAATTGTTTTCATTCCATGTTGATCAGATAAACAAGTCTTACTACTAAGTAGCATCTTAAAGGGCACTTGATGGGCACTGGCCCTGTGGCAGAGAGGTTAAGTTCGCATGCTCTGCTTTGGCAGCCCAGGGTTCGCCGGTTTAGATCCTGGATGTGGACCTCCACATCACTCATCAAGCCATGCTGTGGTGGCCTCCCACACAGAAGAACTAGAAGGACTCACAACTAGGATATACAACTATGTACTGGGGCTTTGGGAAGGACAAGGGGAAAAAAAGAGGAAGATTGTCAACAGATGTTAGCTCAGAGCCGATCTTCCTCACTGAAAAAGGCAGGCGCACTTGATGGTAGAAGGAAAACATAAAATGAAATAAAGTTTGAATTTCTGCTTTCTACCTTGAGATGGTGAGCACTGCCTTCCCATCCTGACTGAGTCATATCTAGGATGGGAAGCTCCAGGTCCTTCTGCAGTAGCAGGCATCCCCTTCTGTCACATCTCCCATCTCCCATCTCGCATGCTGCCTTCTGTGAATCACGGCATCCAGGCAAAGTTTACTGGAGGAGTCAGGTGACATTCTGCGGAAGCCTCGAGAAGCTCTCTCCTCTCCGGAATGGACTCATTGTTTTTTAAATTTTTTTATTCTGATTTTTTGAGGAAGATTAGCCCTGAGCTAACATCTGCCACCAATCCGCCTCTTTTTGTTGAGGAAGACTGGCCCTGAGCTAACATCCATGCTTATCTTCCTCTACTTTATATGTGGGATGCCTGCCACAGCATGGCTTGATAAGCAGTATGTAGGTCCACACCCAGGATCCGAACTGGCGAACCTAGGGCCACCAAAGCAGAACGTGTGAACTTAACCAGTGCGGCACTGGGCCGGCCCCTGAAATGGACTCACTGATGAAGACTTCCTCCTGCTCGGCTCTCCAGCCCGCAGCAGCCTCTTCTCTTAGACGTGCACATTTTACTTCCATATGGTGAAACTTTCTGCACCTGTTTCCCACTGGCCTCAGAGCTTGTAGCCATGAAGGATGAATGACGGCAGCCACAATAGGACAGGACCAGAGCAAAATGTGTCTGTCCTGGTCACTCTCTGAGCCCCAAACAGCCACATTTGCCAAGGGACAAGCCTATTTTTAATCACATTGGAGAAACTGAGTCATCTTAGAAAACTCAGGAATGGCTAAAATCATCCAGAAAGCATATAGAACAGGAAGAGGACTGGCGTGGACCTGGGGAGATGCCAAGATCAAGGGACGGCAGTGACTCTAAACTTTGCATGCGGCAAGGGCTTGGGGCAGCTGGGGGCTTCAAAGAATGGTGATGGGGGACTGATCTGAAAGCTGCCTGTGCAAGGCAAGGATGCTGCTTTTACATAGGATCGCGTGCAACCAAGCAACCTACAGACTACTCCGGGTCAGGAAGTAGGGAGAAGCCTTGTGAACGTTTCTATTCACATAAATAAATGTGAGTTTATTATGGATAAGCGGATATTCCACTGATTTCCTCAGGGCCCTAAGGAGAACTGGCTCTGCAAACGAGGGAGACGCAGCTGGGGAAGGAGGGAGAAAGGGAAGAACTCCAAGAAAGTGGGTGGTATCCTGGAATCCCAAAGAGGAGAGTTTGCGGAAGGAGAAAATGCACAGCAATTCCACCTGCTGGAGGATCAAAGATCAAACAAGATCAGGACTGGAAGGAGGCACTTGTATGCCTTGCTGCCGACCTCCCAAGAGCGTGCCAGTGTCAGGACAGGCTCCAGACCGCAGCGGCTGAGGAGGGACGGGTGGTGAGCTCAGTGGAAAGAGTGAGCTTGCACAAGCCTCGCCGAAGGCTCAGGAAGTGTGAGCAGAGTGGGCTGGGCTTGTAGTGACACAGGACCTGAGTAGCATGGGAGAACTCCTACTGTGTCACCCCGTGGATAAGGGTACGTCACGCAGGTCCCCACATTTAATCTTCACCCAACTCTACAAGATGAGTGAAAGCGTGCTCATGTTGCTCATGAATAACATGAGGCTCAAAAAAGTTAGGTACTTACTAGTAAGCAAGATTGAGAACCTTCCAGAGTTGTTCTTCCCGTGACGGTCACGTGTCTGGCAGAGTCTGGGGAAGGCCGACTGGTTATTATTTTAAGAAGGGGAGCCATAGGCATGTTTACAGTCGGAAAGAAAGAAATCCTCCCTGATCCCACCTGCCAGCATCCCACTCTCTGCCACCTCTTCCTTTAAAAACCAGCTCGCTTTCTCTGGTACCGAGACTCAGAGTGTCCTCTCACCTCCCGCCTGCCCAGGATGCGGGTCGGAGAAGGCAGAGGGAGGGCCCGGGGAGGGTGGCGGGTGAGAGGGTTGGCTGGTGGGAATCACAGTGACCTCAGCAGCTCGTGTTTCCCGGGCTGTGTCTGCAGGACAGGCGTGGTTCTAAGAAGCATAGTGTTTCCCACTGCACATCGTGAGCAAAGCTGGGTTTTGTTTATTAATATATCAGCAGGCAGGACTCTGCGTAAGCCGGGGCACTCTTGCTCTAGCCGCTTCCACAGGGCTGTTCCTGCTTCCTTCCCCACCATCCATGTAGCATGACATTATGTGGGTTTGGTCACCTCCTGGCCGATTAGGTCCCGCCCCTGGGCTGGAGGAGCATGGTGGGGCCACACGGCACCCACAGACAACCTGTTCCCCTCAAAAAAGACACTTTTCAATAAAAGAAAAACAGTCTGGACCATTGCTCTGCTGAATGATGATACATTCCATAAGTGCTGCCACATTTTCCTTTTTTCCCAAGTCCATTGTTCTATTTTCCCCTTCACCCCCGTTATATCCTGAGAGGTAGGCCTGGCCGAAACAGCAATCCCACGTGCCAGCTGAGAAGCCCGGTGCAGGGCGGGGAGGAAGCCTCTCAAAGCCCTAACAATGATGGACCACACGCTGCACCTGTGCCGAGCCGGGGCGCTGGCCTTCCGCCTTCAGATCTGAATGCACGCACACTCTCCTGGGGTTGTGGGGGCTTCGGGGAGGCATGGTGGGGGCACACAGACACTGAGCATCTGATTTGGTGCAGGCACTGGGCTAGCTGCTTTCCGTAAATCAGTTCAGTGGAGTCTCACATACCCACGCTGGGTTAGGTAAAACTGACCATTTTAATTAGTTAAAAATGATCATTTTGCAAAAAGGAAAACCATACTTAGTAAAGTGAAGTAACTGATTCAAGATCAGAAATTAAGGTGATATCCGGGACGGCCAGGCCTGGAAGGGCTTTGCCTGGCCCCAGATGCTGGGCTTGCTCCGGGAATTGGGCACTCCGGGTTGGCTGCCACTTCAGTGCATGCTGGCTGGAGGTGGGCCTGCAAGGTGTGCATCGCCTCCACCCTTCCAACCTGCAGGCAATTGCGACGTTTAAATGAGATTGTGGATGTGAAAGCCGCTGACTGCAGAAGTGCACTGCACCCCTGTTCCTTATTATCCCGTGCACGTGAGCGTGTGCCCTCTTTTTTTGTGTGTGTGTGTGGAGGGGGAAGATTAGCCCTGAGCTAACTGCTACCAATCCTCCTCTTTTTGCTGAGAAAGACTGGCCCTGAGCTAACATCCATGCCCATCTTCCTCTACTTTTTTTTATATGTGGGATGCCTGCCACAGCATGGCTTGCCAAGCAGTGCCATGTCCACACCCGGGATCCGAACCAGTGAACCCCGGGCCACCAAAGAGGAACATGCACACTTAACCGCTTCGCCACCAGGCCGGCCCCATGCCCTCTTTTTTAAAGGGCATCAGAGAGAGCCACTTCTCTCTTCAGTGATGCCACCATTTTGTCACCTGCTGCCCACGCCTGATCTTTAACCTAAAGCCCCGCCATGCGTCCCTTTGATTCGCCCAGCTGACGTGGAGAATGTGCAAACCTTCCTTTGCATCACTCTGTTCATTGGAAGACTCTCCTCTGTTGAATGACTGTGCCGGGAAATCAGAGAAGGCGCCATGCCGGCAAATCAGAGAAGGCGCCGTCAGCCTCTGCTCACTCGGAGTCTACAGGTGCACATGGGTGGGCGTAGGCATCTGGAGGTAAGCCCTGGACTCGGGGACCTAGGAGAGCTGTGTCTTGCCTCTTAGCAGTCACTCGATCCCAGGCAATCACTCACCTTCCATGGGCCTCTGTTTCCCATCGCCTAATGGCAGATCTTGAGGGTAATTGTGCTTCTTTCCCTCCCTTATTGGAGAAAAGATAAAATGACAGAATATCCTGGGGTGTGGCACTATCTCACACCAAATCTGGGTTTTGAGAGAGAGGTATCAATTGCCTCCCTTACTAGCTGTGTGATTTTGAGCAAATTCCTTAACCTCTCTGATCATAGGTTTCTTTCTGTGAAAAATGGCAAGGACTAATGCGAGAGTTATCAGCCTATCTCAGCATCAGGTGATCCACCCTGGCCTTCCTTCAAGGTGATTCATTATGGAAGTAACCAAACACCCTTAGCAAATGGCAGTTTCACCTCTCCAGGGTCCTCAGCCCAGACCTAGGCTGTTTGGTTACGTGGCCACTGATTTTATTATGAACCCTAATTTCTCCAGCAAAGAAATGTCTTGAACCAATTGTGAGCAAAGTGACTTTTTCTGACCAGCAAGCAGGTGTTCCCTTTCTGTCCTCAGATCTGACTTCCTTCTGCCCAGGGAGGGCGGGAGAAGCCTGATGTCACACAGCCCCACTTAAGGGTCTCCTTTAGGCTCCTGCAGGCAGTTAGGAAGCAGATGGAGGGATAAGCTAGGTCCTGGTTGTGGGATTTTTCTGTTTGTTTTAATTCAGGCACAGACACAGCTGTTGAAGAAAATGCAGACTCCTCAGAAAAGCCCGAGCATCAGCCTTTTTGAGCAGAGGAAGAGCTCAGGTGAAGTTCTCAGCCTGCCGTCTGGGTTACAGACAGAGGGCGAGAGGATACAGATTTCACTTGCTGTTTACTTATTGCTTCTGTCCTTGAAATATTCACAGCAACCAGACAAGAGGAAGTTGCTGGAATCCGGGCAAAGTTCCCAAACAAGATCCCGGTAAGATTTCATTGTCTTTTTCGGAAAGGGGGATACTCTTTTCTTTGGAAAAAAACCCAAAAAACAAAAATAACGAGAAGAATAAAAAGCCCGCTCTCTCTCCCTGTTGTAGGTTCTAAGATACCAAGAGCTCCGGTCACGTTCTTAGGGGCTGAGTCTCTTGACAGGCGGTGGGGGAGCGCTCACCATGGAGCAGTTCCTGCCTGTGCTGGACAAGACCTAGTTCCTGGGCCCGGCCCACAGGGGCTGACCGTGACCCAGTGCCTCGGCATCATCCGGTAGGTGACAAGGTGCCCTCGGGGGCGTGTGCCGTGCAGCCCTGGGATTTTTCTATTTGCTTTGTCAGTCTATTTGGTTTTGATGATGGGGACATTCCAGGAGAAGAGAAGGGAGAGATTTTCTCTGTGACTCACCTTTTAGATCCTGTAGTGCCCCGAAAAGATGCTCTGAGACTTAATCTATCTCAAACAGATGGGAGAGCCCCGCAGATAACAAATCAAAAGAGAGTAAGAGCTGCCAACATTTCTAAGAATTTTCTAAAGTAGTCTTGGCTCTGAAACAGAAGATGCTTTCCTCCTGATAGTGTTTAAAACCCAGCCTGCATCTTCCCGGTGGAGACACAGTACCTTTTTTAGGTGTGTGTGCGCCTGAGGAGTGGGGACCCTTCAAAGGGCAAAGGCTCCCTGGACTGCTCAGACCCTAAGAGAGGGACAAGGAAATTGTCCCCAAAACACAATCCCCTTGGGTTAAGGCACAGTGAAGAAAAAGCAGCTATTTTAAAAGCTTAAGAAGGTTAAGTGGTATCACCTGACACATGGATTCAATAAAAATAATTTGGGAGTAATGTGAATATAACTCTGGATAATTCTTCACAGGGTTGAAAAATCTGCTGGGGCTGGCCCTGGGAAGTTGGGTAGCTGTTGCAACTTGTTTCTTCAAGAATTCATTACAAATCTGCATTTGTCTCCGTTTTGCTTCTTTTAATGAGCTATTTAGGAGCATCCTGATTTCCTCTCCTCAGGGTAGTTACATTAGTGCAGTGTGGATGGAGGTGCCAAGGGAGAATGAGAGGCAGGATTAGGTCCCAACATGTTGGCATAACATGAGGTGACCTCGCCTCCCTCTCTAATTTCACCCCCTCCCCAAAAAAACCCAAAGAACAAGCCCTTTGAGTTCTGAGAGCCGTTCTTTCCCCTTCGCAGCCGGGCCTCCTGTCTCCTCCACCCCGCCCCGTGCTCCCATCCCAACATTGAGGCTCCATGATGTTTCCGGAGCACCAGCTGTGTTCTGGGTGCTCTCTGGGCTCTGTGTTTGCAGCATGAACAGAGTAGACGGACGTCCCTGCCCACAGCCTGCTCCCCGGGGGACGCCACGACCCTCATCCAAAGAGAGTGTGGCAGAAGACACAGGCGGAGGTGCGGAGTCTGGGAAGTTTCCCTCAGAGCTGATGGCTGCACACTGATCCCCAGCCGCACCCATTCCTGTTGCAGAACAGTCACTTTTGACCCAAAGGCCATCATGCAATGGTCAGAGCTAAAACCTTTGGGGTTATTTTGGAAGGATTATCTGGTTGTAGAATTGCTCAGCTTCCAGCCACCCGTGTCCAGCTGCATGGACCTAGCTCGCCTGAAGTGGCAGAGCTCTGAGGCTGGAGTGGGCAGGCGGTGCCTCCTCGCGGAACAGAGCAGGTGGAAGTGAGCTTCAGGTGAACCGAGCCTTTTCTTACGTGTCTGTGCTGTTGTGCTGTCGTCTACTCCTGGCTGCATCAGGACTCAGGTGGACCTCGGCATTTAAATCATGTCCAGTTAACTTTGCAGCTCTCTGGCTCCTTGCTGGAGGGGGCAAGAAATGGCAAGAAAAGGAAAGGTCACACTTGGGGGCAGTAGGTCCCTTCTAAAAGTCATCCCAAGGGTGTTTGACAGTGAGATGCTGGAAGAGGTTGTGATCGCCTTTGTACCTCTGGGGAAATACTTTTAATTTCAGAGCAAAGAGGGGCTCATTTGCCTGGTTTATTTGTATTGGTATGAATCCTAGCTAATGACGGGAAGGCCTCACCCTTTTGGTCCAACGAGGAGGCCTTGTGGATCTCGAATCTCCAGCAAAGGAGTAGGGAGCAATTCAGTTTTCTTGAGCGGCATGACCCTGCAGATTCCTGGGCTGCTTCCCGGATCCACTGGATCCGAGGCTCTGGGGCTGGAGCACCGGAGCCTGCCTTTCCACAGCCCAGAGAGCACAGTGGAGTCGGAGCACCACTGCCCTGAGAGTTTAGGAGATCAGGGCTCGCCTCTCATGGGAAAAATATATATACTGGCCGTACCAGGGGAGGCTTTGGTCAGGGCCCATTCCCTGCAGGCTGAGTCCCCTTCCTGCCCCCTCCCTCTCCTCCATCCCAGGAGCCCCATGGTCCTCGGGGCCACTGAAGCCTTTCACCTGCTGGTGAACAACAGGAGTGTGGCCAGCCCGAGTGTGACCATGGCAGAGATCTACAGGGACTGCAAGGATAAGGACGGCTTCGTGTGCATGACCTGCTCCTCCCAGGAGGTGTTTGGGGGCTTGGGGTCGGCAGCCCCCTCCTGGGGGCAGACCCTGCCATCCTCTCCAGTGTGTGTCGACACCGTCCTTGGATGGCTCCACCAAAGCCGGCAGCCTCCTCCTGTGTGTGGTGGATGGTCCAGGCAGGGCCGTCTCAGTGATGGGCGCCAGCCACCAAGGGAAGCCTCTTGTGCTCTCAATCTCACTGAGAAAATGTGGTGGCTCTCAGCAATTCTGTAAATAGTCCATCTTTTCTGAGTAAGAAACAGTGAAGTCGTGCGATGGTTTTCATGGTGGGCTAGAGATGTGTTTAAGTGTCTTCCTGGAGGAGGCAGCAGGCCGCTGAGGAGTCTGATTTCACCTGTGTGGGCAGGAAGGAGTCCGTGTGCGCTGGTCACGGAGAAGCTCGGGCTGTGGAACCGTGTGGAGCCAGTGGAGCTTCCCTGTGTCATGAGAGAGGTTCCTGGTGCATTTCCACGGCGTTCACTCCACCTGGGTCTTCCCTCTTATATTCCTTCTGTGTGTCTCTGCCACACTGATTTATGCCAAAGTTGTCGTTTCTTAATATAAAGTCTCTTAACCCATTTGAGTGTTTACTCTGTGCCAGGCGTTATTCTAAGCTCCACGTGTATTAGTGCCTCCTCTCAACTCTCCACGGTTAATTATTGTTATCATTTTACAGATGAGGAAACTGAGGCCCAGAAAGGTCAAGAACATTTTCCAAATTCACACAGCACAGTCTCCTGGGATTTGAGGTCAAGGAGTGTGGCTTTAGAAGCCACGCTCCTTAGCCCTCTGCTGGGCTCCCATCTTGGAGGAAGTTACTGTCCTTGACCTCACCGACTGGGCTGAGCTCCAGGGCCCCGTCACACTAACTTACCCACAGGGGAGACAGGTGTCCACCGGGAGTCCAGCAGAGCTTGACGAATGCAGGAGCGGTGGGCTGTCTGGTTTAGCAGCAGCAGCATAGATGGTGAAGGGACATCCTCCTGCGTGCCCGAACCCAGCGCTCCTGCTCTCAGCCTTCTCCGTGGCCTTGATCTTCCTTGAATCCCAGTGTCGAAGATTCTTGTCATCCTGCAGGTACAGAGTCCTGCCTGGGTGGCAGCTGAGTGAGCTGTTGTGTTCTGTTTGGTCTTTAAGACCCTTCCCGATGTAACTCCCTCCTACGTGACCTCCGGCTGGAGCGGGGTGCGCGCGCACACACACACACACACACACACACACACACACACACAGTGTTGATGGCTTGTCTCTGCTCCACAAAGTTTGGGGACTCAGCCTGGAAGAACGGAAAGGCTGAGAGTGACTTGAACAGCCAGGACCTGGAATCATCTGGAGACTTCTTCGTTCTCTTGTCTGACCCCTGGGCTGGGATGACTCAAGGCTGGGCCCAGCTGGGAGTGTGGGCTGGAGTGGTTCCAGGTGACCTGTCTCAGCACGGGTGCCAGGAGGGAGCATCCTCAGAAGGAGCAGCTGGAGAGCGTGTGATCCAAGAAACCGAGGCGAAGCTGGCCGACCATAGGGGATGAATGCCAATCATTTTGCTCTGGAGATTTTTCTTTCCTTATTTTCTTAACCTCTACTCAAGTGCTTAAAATTAATTGGCAATTTGTACTCCTGTAAATTATGGCCAGTTTTCTTTTAGGCTATTCGTCATTTTCTATTGATTTTTACAAGTTCACAAGGTTGAGTAATTAACTCTCTGTATGCCACGTGTATTAAAAATGATCACCCAGTTCCTTTTGTTCTTGCTGATGGCAGATTTTCTCATGTAGATACTTTTTATTCTTCTGTGATCTTTTCCTTTGTGGCTTTTGAAGTGCATGCTCTCAATAGAAAGACTCTCCCAACCCCAAGATTATAAAAAATGTGCACCTATACTATGTCTTTTCCAGCACTATGGTTTCCTTTTGCTTACACTTAAGTGTTTGACCAACTGGAATTTATTTTGGTAACAGAAGAATGTACCCAGGTTCCATTTTTTCCAAATGCCTAACCAATTGTCACATGTGCCTTTAATGAATAATCTATCCATGGGCATTTGAATTTGCTGCGATTGTGTATCTATGTCTTATCACCATTTTTGTTGTTAGTGCCCTCAAGTGGGTCCCGACTCCCAGCGCCCTGTGCACAGCAGAGCGGAGCCCTGCCCTAGCTTCGGGCGCTCTGTCAGACAGGGCCCCACTGCTAGCCACAGCGTTTTCAGGGCCAACTTTTTCAGATGCGGGTAGCCAGTTCCTCCTTCCTAGTCTGTCTTAGTCTGGAAGCTCTGCTGAAACCTGTCCATGATGGGTGACCCTGCTGGTATTTGAAATCCTGGTGGCATAACTTTCAGCATCGCAGTAACACGCAGCTGCCACAGTATGACACTGACAGACAGTGGTGTGGTTCAGTGATGAGGACACGAACTCAGGCCATGTGGTAAGAACACAGAATCTTAACCACTAGACCACCAGGACTGGCTCTTATCACCATAATAACCCCAAAAAGCTGCTTAAGAACATGGACATGACTTCTTTTTTGGATTCCTCATGGCTCGCAGTAATGCTAAGCACATCTTAGGTGGTTAGTTAATGCTTCGTGATAAATTAGAGAATGATGGTGTCAACTTCAGAGGGAGATAATAGAGTGATTGGATTGTTCTAGGAGTTGTTTCCACAGCGATTGGGTCAGGCAGAGAACCCATTTTTTTGAGTGCCTGTTGCACATGCATTAGTCACCCTCTCTCCACATCATAAAACCAAAGGGGGCCAGATAGAAACTGCAGCTGCTATGTCCCAGCTAACATGGGACCTACAGCTGAGCCCAGATTCACCTGACACCTAGACCAGAGGTCAGCAGAAGACTGCCCTGCGCTGTTTTTGTGAATAAAGTGTAACTGGGATGCAGCCACGCCCATTGTTTGTTCCTCTCTCGGGCCACTTTTGTGCTGCAATGGCAGAGCCGAGTAGTTGTGACACAGGCCGTATAACCTGCAAAGCCCAAAGTATTTACTATCTGACCCTTCCCAGAAAACGTTTGCTGACCCCTCCTCTAGGTTACAGTGATAATTTTATCATCAAGATGTCCTGGGGGGGAGGGTGCTGGCCCCGTGGCTGAGTGGTTAAGTACGCGTGCTCTGCTTCAGCAGCCTGGGGTTTCATCAGTTTGGATCCTGGGCATGGACACGGCACTGCTCATCAGGCCATGCTGTGGCAGCATCCCACATGCCACAACTAGAAGGACCCGCAGCTACAATATACAGCTATATGACCAGGGGCTTTGGGGAGAAGAAGAAAAAGAAGAAGAAGAAAAAAAGAAGATTGGCAACAGATGTTAGCTCAGGTGCCAATCTTAAAAAAAAAAAAAGGCTATGCTCAGGGGTAAATCACAATAGAAAGAAGTATCTTGTTGTTGCTGTTGTTTTGGTCTCACATGATGTGAGAAGAAAAGCATTTCCAAGTCTACTGCACTCGTTGATGGTACTGCCAAGCCCTTGACTGGAGGAGTTCAATCCAGACACACACACAGTTCTTCACAGGTCAAATGGCATTCTTCCCCACGGCTCCATTGTCATGGGTCTCCTCCATGCTGCCTCACCGTTTGCCTCTAGAATACATATGGGAGATTTCTAAATGTATGTTGTTTTCTTTCATGAACAAAAGGAACCAGTTCACACCTGTTTTCCAGCAAACTCTCTCCAGGGTACGGGATTTGCGCTTCTCCCAGCAGACAGACCTGAGTCATATAAGTCTGGGTCTAGGGTAGGTTTCCCAACCTCTGTGCAACTGACATTTGGGCAAGTGATTCTTTGTTGCAGGAGGCTGCTTTGTGCATTGTAGGAAGTTTAGCAGCATCCTGGCCTCTACCCACTGGACACCAGTAGCACTGACCCCCAACCCGCAATAGCTTATCAAAAATGTCTCCAGTTATTGCCAAATGTCCGGGGGGGGGGGGGGCGGGGTGAAATTGCCCCTGGTTCAAAACCCCTGGTCGAGAGTCTACTCGAGACCCGAAATGTGGTCTGTGGACCAGCAGCTTCAGCCTCCCCTGAGAGCTTGTTAAAATGCAGTCTCTGGCACCTCCCCAGAACTACTGAATCAGAGCAGCAATTTAGCAAAATGCCCAGCTGATTGATAAGCACGTGAGTTTGGGAAGCACTGGTCTGGGCATCTTGGGTGGTAATTTGGCTACTTTCTCCTCCCGCTCCTTGGAAAGGTGCAGTAATTGTGCTCCACCTACTTCCGTCCTGTTTCAGCTTTGGGGCACATACTTGGCCCAGTACCGTATTAAGAGACATGTGTGGTGTCCTGGGAAGAGCCATGGCTTTGTCCTCGGACAGACCTGGGTTCAGAGGAGGCGTCTGTTCCTGTGCGTCTGGGAGGGTGTTTAATCTCTGCATCAGTGTCCTCTGAAAATCTCTGGTTTGTGCTTCAGAACATGAAGACCTTCTGAGCAGGTTACTGTCAAAGAATCAGAACAGTTTTAGTTTCAAAGTTCTCAAATCATTTATTTCATATAAGTTTCTCACAAGTGATGAGATCGGAAAGGCAGCAAGTTTCCAACTCATGCGAGTATACCTAGAATGGCTTCCTCTACCCAGGAAACTCCAGCTGGTTCAGCTGACAAGTACCACCAGGTGGCGCCAGCCCTGCTGCGTTAGATTTAGAAACGGCCAGCAGTTCCTAATGAGTGTATCTGAATCTTCTGAAAAGCCCAGCTCCAGCCAAAGAGGGGGCAGATATAAATGTTAGCGAAAGAGTCGCTAGAACATTAAATGTGTCTCCTTGATGTGAATTCTAACTAACCCACAGAAAAGAACTGCTGAGACCTTGAAAACCACATTGCACGTCCTCCCAACTCCCAGTGCTGCCACGGTGACTGCAGCCATCACAAGGGCACACAGGCCCAGGTGGATGCTGGGAGCAGTGTTGGGATGTCAGGACCACAGGCCACCACGTGGGAAAGGAAGTCAGGAAAGGGATAAAAGTAGAGATGTCTAGTAACAAGTCCCAGATGTTGATGTTATTTTATATTTAAAGATAAACACTGCGGGGGGCTGGAATTGGCCACCCCAAGATATGTCTCTTTGGCATGAGGATTATTTTGGGCCGGTTACTTTTAGAAACTGCAGACAGGAAAGAAACTCTGAGAAGCAGAATTTACTTACCCTTTGTTAAGACATTTCCATTGTAAAGGAAATCTCCATCTGTAACGGTGTCTCCCTCTCTGTACCAGGAAGAAGGGGGGATGACATTATCTCTAGAAACTCTTAATCAATGCAGAAGGCAAGGACTTAAATCTGCATAATAACCTTACTCTTGTTTACTGTGTTTTTCTGTTAATCTCCCATAACTGACTCCCCCCATGCCCTACATCCTCCTGTGCCTTTAGCTAAAGATGATATTTAAGGTGGTGGCTGCAGCCTTTTTGGCGAGTTGCTCAGGTTGCCTGAGGCTTTCCCATGTGTACATGTTATAAAGCTTTGTTTAGTTTTCTCCTGCTATCTGTCTCATGTGAATTTAATTCATTTCCCAGCCAGAAGGACCCAGAGCAGGTAGAGGAAATGCCTTCCTTCCCTACAACTGCATGAATATTACTCATCTCCAAGCACCTAGTTTGGAGAGCTCAGCCTCCCACCATGCCTCTCACACACTATGCTATGGTGTTAGAAGGACTTTTCAGTTACCTGAATTAGATTAACACTTGAAAGTCAACAGTGTAGTCTCCTGGTCAACAGGAAACAAAAATCTGAATGGGGGTGAGGGTCAGTGGGCAAGAATCTTCCTTGAATTCACTCAGCTTCCAAAGTAACTTGATATTAAGAAAGGAGTGCCCTGGATAAGGGACAGAAGATTTTCAGTTACTGAAAATGACCAGCCCAAATCATAAAACAAATGGACAGTCTCTTGTGAATTTAAATATCATGGTTTCCTCTAAGTGCCATATCCTTCTGGGAGCAACCCCTTGGTTTGGCCCTCAAAGATGTGCCTTTTCTCCTCATTCCGTGTCTTTATCAATTCCTGTCACCCATTCATGGCTCCTCCTTTCTTGCTTGTGCTCTATTATTATTGTTTGCTGACATTTCAGTGTTGTTGCTCATGTTTTCTCATGCCTGGAGACTCTCTCCCTCTAGGAATGAACTCCTACTCATCCTTCAAGGTTCAAGGCAACCTCTTGACTTGGTTCTGTGTGCTCCTTCCATTTTAATCAATGACACTCATTTATTTGGAATCTACAGTGATCCTAGAGGTCTTAGTCAATGTTCACTAAGACCTTGAAAGACATTTATTATTACTATTATGTTTCAAAATTATTATTCCCATTTTAAGGATGAAAAAACTGCGATAAGAAAAATCAAATAGGGGCCTGCCCGGTGACACAGTGGTTAAGTTCACATGTTCGGCTTCTCAGTGGCCCGGGGTTCACTGGTTCAGATCCCAGGTGCGGACATGGCACCACTTGGCAAGCCACGCTGTGGTAGGTGTCCCACATATAAAGTAGAGGAAGATGGGCACGGATGTTAGCTCAGGGCCAGGCTTCCTCAGCA